TTCTAAGTTTATCAGTTTCTGAATATGCGAAAATTCCCTAAACTCACAAACCCCAATCCCACAAAACCCGAACCTACAAACTCCAAGCTTACAAACCCAAAGCCCACCAACTCCAAACCCACAAACCGTATGGGTATGAAGTTTCTGAATTGCAATCGACTGCTTGATGTCTAAGGCATCCTTAGTAGATTTTCGCATATTAAGAAACTGATAAACTTAGAAATTTCAACATGTGATATCTCAACGAAAAAAAAAAAGATATTTGAGCAAACTTAACGGCATTCGAATGAGGGAGCCTTGTTCTTTTAGATTCAATGTATTGTATTAGTTTTTTGAAAAAGAATAGATGACATTGCTACATAACATCAAATATGACGAAAAACAGTGTTTTTTGCACTTTTAGGTTAAGATATCTCAAAAACCTGACGTGATAGAGCAATTCTGCTGCCAGATTCGGATTCAGCGCACCTAAATCCTTCGGAAATATATATTCAAATATGTATTGTTATAAATTCTTGTGAGATGGTAATTTTCTTACCTGTATGAACTTATTCTGCTTCGCTTCTTCTTCTTTGTATCCTATTATTCTTCTTTATTGTCTGGGCCCCAGCTCACACGAGAACATAGTTCAAATTTTGTTAGTTATGTTCATAGAGAAAGTCTTCGTTTGAGAAAAAAAAATTAATGTAAGATTGAAGCAAATTTTTATCTAATGGGAGTAGTCTTACCCCAGGGTGAGGTTCTGAGAAGATTAGTATTTTGATTTTAAAATATACTGATTAATGAATTTAGATACTACTTAATCTTGAGAAGGAAAAGACAAAAAATTATATTTGAATTTTAACTGACCACAGTTATTCTATTTCTCGTAAAAATAATTTCTAATTCATTTAATTACTCTGATCCAATATATTTCAAATTAAAATAAAAACTATGTGATTGGCTAACACTTAATTTATTTTACTATTTATCCAAAATTTTTCAATCTTCTATCAATAGAAGTATTCTTAAATTAAACCTACGCCACTTCCTCTATTCTAACTTAAACTAAATAACAATATCCAAGATTTGGATTTAAATATTAAATTTAAAACAAATCTGTATTATATTAGGGGTTTATACCTCTTTACCACTGTCTAATACACTAATTTCTTTTCTTCTTGGTCCTTTATCTCCTCTATTTCTTTCCTGTACCTGTTCACAAATTCTGTTTCTGACTTGTCATTTGTCATATAACTCCTTGTTGTTTGTCTCCTTGCTGATATTTCTATTTTACTATTCCCTATCGGTGACTTGGATTAGATCTGTGTTGACTTGATACTGGGTAATACTCTATAACAGTTAACTTTGTTTTGTTATTGTACTTACTTAAGTTTCTATTGTCCGTAATCTTCAATCAATTTGGTTCTTGAGATTGTTTTCTTCAACTTCTTATAACTGGTTTTTCTTTATTGAATACATTTGTTTCTTTCTGGCAATCAAATTATCTTCCTTTTAAATTAAAAATTTTATTTTCAAAACTTTAGCTGTCAGCTCCCCAATTTATTATTTTTTTTCTTAGTCACCTCACTCTTTTTGTTTTCATGTCCCACTATTTTTTTTAAATCACTTTCTAATTCTAGTAATCCAAATTTTTATTACCAACCACATTTTCAATTTCGAATATACTTTATTACATTATAATTCTTTAAATTTTGTTTGAAATTCTATTTTTACGAAAATTTTTAATTGATCATATACTAATTTTTATTTATTTTATCTTTTCTTTTTCAATTTCAACCATCTATTGGTCACACTTATTCAACTTATAATTTATTTCTTTAAAATCAATTTTACTAATTTCATTTTCCCAAATTTGCCTTTCTCTTTGATATTTTAAAATCTTTGCCCCAACTCATTCTATTACAATATACAGGGTGGTCCATAATTGTATGTCGCACTGCATACTGCGAATCATGGAAAATTGTGAAAATGTTCTTAATATAATTTTAATTACTTGATTGGGTTTATTTACAGAGGTACGCTTCCCCCCAAAATTGTAAAATAAATTATAAACTTTCTTAAAAATTTCGAAATAGTTTAAAATAAAAGCTTGAAACTTGCAGAAAAAGTAAAATCAGTGATGTAGATTTTTAAAAATATAAAATTATAAATCAAGGCTTTAATAACTTACAATTTTTACGCACTAACAGTATTTCACCTACAAATAAAACCATTTGCAAATTTTTATTGGGAGTATAATTTTCAAGATAATAGCAATTTTCGATATCTCAGCACTAAAAAACACAAAAAGTGCACAAATTAATTTAGTAGGCTTTGCATATTGGATAACAAATTGTTTCAAATAAGCAATTTTTATAAAAAGTTTTAAACCCATGTAAAAAAAATATGAAGAATTTTTCTTTCGATGTAACCGATAACCAATATGTTATTTGAATTTTAGTCAAGCCCATAGAAATGTTTAAAAAACATTTCTGGGTTTAGGACATGAACTTGTTAAAATAGTTTCGCTGTCTTTTATTTGAAACAGTTTGTCAATGGATTATTATCAAAGCCTACTAATTAACTTGTGCACTATGGCCTGGCAGAGGTATAGGAAATTGCAATTATCTCGAGAACGCTATTATTTCGAAAGATTGTGAAATTTGATGGCTGTATTTTATTTAGAAATATTGACAGCAACATACTAGATAATGTATCAATAGAAATTAAAAATACATAACTTGCAATAAAATGTTTTATTTTTTTCCCTCAAAAACGGTGCATCCTACGAAAAAAATTGAAAAGGCTAATTTCATTCAGAATTGATGGCGGATTTCTAAAAAAATATCAAAAAGGGAAAAAGTCAGTGGCGTACCATTTTTTTAATTAAAGTAGATTGTGGCATTTTCGCACGAACGCCACTGGTGCAAGTAGAAATATTCTGATCACCCCAAAAAAATGCACATTTATCCCTCCAAAGCGTTTTTCAAATTTCGAGTCAATATATTTAAAACTGTTTGAAATAATTAATAACAATAAATAAAAAATTAACCTACGTTTATATGAACCTTTTTTTTTCATAAAATAACTGCGGCAATCACCCCCTAAAATATTTCGCACATATTTACAAACACCCTGTAATAATAATTTTTAATTTTTTTAAGATTACCTATTTTACCTTTTAATTAATACTAATGTTTTATTTTAAACAAATAATTTTATTATAGAACTTTGCAGAATCGTACTTCCGCAAATAACCTGACTGACCAAATTTATTAAAAATATGTTCACAATTTTCCATGCCTATTAACGTATACTGTATTATGCTTTGCGACATAGAATTACCGACCATCCTGTATAGTTATGCTAAAGTATAACTCCATGGATACCATAGTTATTAATAAATATCTAAAATTATCTACCCACATAATACTAATGAACAAAAATACGTATCTGACATATTCAAATTGTTAAATAATACGACAAACTTTCAAGAAAACCTCCCGTTCTTGTTTCTAATAACTGTAACACAAATTTAGACAAAGATAAACGCTAATTGTTCCACCAATAATAGGTAACTTAGTCTACATTTCAAGCATTGCTTTTTGAAGTGATCACCTTTTAAAAAAAACGGATTTGACAGAAATCTGAACAGTGACAAATAGATATTAACATTAGACGAATATTAACTATAAAACTTTTAGAGCATGAAATTTAGAAATGACAATGTAAGACTGTTGACAATGTATTTAAATTAATATGAATTATTTTCTGAACATAACAAATAACATGATTTTTTCCTAAGAGCCTATCGCTTTCTACTTTGTAGATATAAGGCGTCAATTACAATTTTTTTATATCAAATTTTAGCCGTATCTTCTCCAAACAGTAATGTATTTCATTGAAATTTGAAAAAAAGTAAGTTTTTCTGGGTGCTAAATTCATCGGCGTTATTAGTATTTGACCTAGAGGTCGCTAGTTACGTTATTCAGACATTTTATAATGTAGAGCTTTTTTGCTGGAATCGCGCCGAATTTTGAGAAAAGCGCAATTGTCCCAAAGTCAACTAGCTTCTTCCCCATAAAATACAGGGTGATAAGAGATTTTTAAAACTGTTTTCAAATTGCACTAAAAATAAAATTTTTTATATTTTGCCGGATGCGCCAGTCAAAAATCAAAAATTTTGCATACAACAAAGTATCGCTTATAGCTTCTATCGTTTACAAACAGCGCCGAGATTCCCGATTATCACAGGTACATTACTCAACCTATGCCCCACTAGGCGAACATAATATTGAATTGATGATATTGCAGGAAACTACTTCTCGGCGGACTAGCACCCTGACCAGTATCGAATACCCTGCAATATCTAAAAACAACTAGGATTGTCCGCCAGCTCAATGCTGTTTGTAGATGTATGAAGCCATAAGCATTGAGTAGACCATTAACAAATGTAGCTCTCTGCTACTTCACTTTGTCTATTGTGAAGATATTATATGCTGGATTAGTGGAGACGATAAACAGGTCTAAAACCGGTTTATATCTCGTGATTCAACTGGCTAATAATCATAGTTGTCTTTTTAGAAATGTTGGTCGGGGCATTAGTCCGCAGAGTGAAATTTGAAAATTTTTATTTAGTTAATTTGAAATAATTTAATTTCGAAACCTGTAATATTCAAAGTAGTGTTAATAATTACAGTAAATAATTTACTTGCAGAATTAAGTAAAAATTTCTTTACCTAACTCTAATCATAATAATCATATCAAAATGTTTTTACTCGTGACTTCATTAGTAACTTCAGCTCTTGAAAAAATCGGTGACATTGTCGGATGCAATCGGTTCATTGATGAGCCCATAATTGGTATAAAATTCCGATGTATCTTTTTCATGGCGAATGCCTATATAAAAGAACCTTCACGCCTCGATGCGGAAGTCGATGCATGAGGCAACTTCCGCGCCACTTATAATGTTATTGTTCACACACCATCAGCCGGTTTCAATAAAGCTCTTTTTTCAGGACTATTACCCCGATTTGATTGCCAACGATTCAATAGCCTTCCTGAGGCACTCCAAAAAACAATATCAACACAAACCGGTGATGCTAACGATGTCATTTCCGGCGCCGCACGGGCCTGAGGACTCGGCACCGCAGTATTCGGACCTCTTCTTCAACGTCACGACCCACCAGTAAGTATATAAAGTTACATTTTTCCAAGAACAATAATTAAGAAAGTACCTACACGATTCTTAGTTAATCACAGTAAAAAAATGAATGTTTTTGTGATTAAATATTCGAAGTGGTTATTTACCTTTCAAAGTGTATACTACGAATAAAGAGTGACCGCAAAAACAGCATATTTTTAGCCTATTTTCTCACCCTTGCCAGAGACCTTAAAAAAAAATCCTAAAAATATTCTGCATATGTCAAATTATTGGTAATGGAAAATCAAAACGAGCATATTTTTTAATTTTTCGAAAAATGTCCCCTGTCATCATCATCAAATCATCAAATGTCATCATATCAACCCCTAATTAGGGGTTGATATGATGACGCAAAACTGAAATATATGAATAATATCAATAAGAATAAATGCAATTCTTATTGTATTTTTTCTATAAAATAAAATCTTACAAATAGGAAATAATTTATTTTCATGATTAATGAGGGCGTGATATAGTTGTAAGTCCACACTTAAATTCGCTAAGGGGCTTAAATCATCCCCTAAATACGGAAAAAATCAAAAATTACTTGAAAAATCTTGGAAAAAGTACTAGGATATTCTAAATTATTAGAAATTAAAATCGTGTACTTCCCACTAGTATCTATAAGAAAACCACCTGTAACGAAGGGGTGAACTACCCCCGAACGTGATAACATACGAAAATATCATAGCGATATAAAAAAACTGTCGAATATTTTATAATAGATCTTACTTTTGCGATCAGAAAAATTAAGCTGACTTGACCTAATTATTCCAAAATTTTTTTATATAAAAATCAATCCTCATAGGGGGTGAGATCATCCCCTAAACATAAAAAATTAAAAAATACTTGAAAAATCTTGATTTTTCAAGTAATTTTTTATTTTTTCCGTATTTAGGGGATGATTTAAGCCCCTTAGCGAATTTAAGGGAGGACTTACAACTATATTACGCCCTCATTAATCATGAAAATAAATTATTTCCTATTTGTAAGATTTTATTTTATAGAAAAAATACAATAAGAATTGCTTTTATTCTTATCGATATTATTCACACATTTCAGTTTTGCGTCATCATATCAACCCCTAATCAGGGGTGATTTTCGACATTTTTCGAAAAACTAAAAAATATGTTCATCTTGATTTTTCATTATTTGACATATGCAGAATATATTTAGGATTTTTTTTAAGGTCTCTGGCAAGGGTGAGAAAATAGGTTAACTTTGCGGTCACTCTGTTGACCAAAAAAAATCCAAATATTTTCAAGTTTTCCAAGTAGATTTTAAAAAATCCAGTTTACGAGGATAAAAGCTCTACTCAGTTGTCAGTTTGCATTTTTCAGTCATTACCATACATAAAGACAGTCTAGATATACTGAGGGATTTTTAATTTAGGAGAAAATTACATTATATTATTATTAATCAACCAAAATTTTTTTAAAAATATATGCAGAATTGTTTGGGAAATAGCGTTAATACGGTACAAAATCAGCAAACATTATTATTTGGTGAAATTATTAAGAAACTTTATTGTGATAATATTTGTTATTTAAGTAATATTGACAAAGTTGACTAATGGGCTCATTCGGCATTTTTTTTATTTTATTTGTTTTTTTTTTAATATCTTTTATTTGAAAAATGACTTATTTTGAAAGCAACAGAACTACCCTGCGTAATTTAAGAATGTAATAAATATGTGTGTATCCTCTAGAAACACTATACACTTGTGTTTTCCATGTTGATTTTTTTTTTTTAATATTATACAAATACCTTATATGTACTATGTATTTATATAAAAATGCATAATAAATACTATATTATTAATATATTTATAAGATATTAGGTAGATTTTATGTAGTTTCCATGGAAATAAAAATAGTAACAAGAATTTTGTATTTGATTAGATAAATTTTTGAAACCTGTGACAAACGGTTTCGTCCAATTAAATGCACAATCCTTATTCTTATTTACTATTCTTATTGTATAAAAACATCAAAACTTTCTCAACAAACGTACATTAAAGAAGCTTTAGACGTTAGTGAAACGTAACCCTTACATTTTCACTCCTCTCATCTCAGCACTGAATCCATAACCACTAAAAAATCCATAACCATTAACAAACCTACTTCTGGCAAATTAGAAGAATCTGCTTTTTCGAAATTTGCTTCCATTTTTTATTGCACAAACGCTAAAACATTCTGTAGATGCTGAAACTCGTCTGGAACTACCGCCAAGCCAGTTGACCGTCCCGTGCGGTGACGTCATTGCATTGCCACGGTTGAGACAAATATTCACATTTTAAAAATCATATAGTTTGAAAACCGCTCAACGAATTGAGTTGAAATTTTCAGATTTACCTAATCATGAGTAATACTTTGTGTATACAAAATAAGAACGTTTTTGAAAATTTACTGAAAGACCAAATTAAAAAAATAATGGTTCAAGTTAAAAATATCAGCACCAGTTTTAAAAAGATCAGAAACTGATATTTTTCATATTTGTTATTAATATTGACTTTATTTCGACATGGAACTTGGGCAACTTTCATAGTCTGTAAATGTATTACTTTTAATTTTGGCCGATTAAATTGATGCTATTTTCTTCTAAATACAATATACTGTGATTGCGCTTATTTAGTATTCAGACAAGCAAAATCGTATAAAAAATCCACCCACTTTCAACTTTTCAACTTTTAAGTAGTCAGGGTGAGCTAAATTTAATTGTCAAGAATCTCGGAAACTGTTAGAAATACTGAAAAGTTCATATGGAGAACATACAGCAGAATTGAATGCTTTGTAACATTCCTTCCTGAATTTAACTAAAAAAAAGTACAAATTTTTAAAATATAGTTGTAACTTCGATTTGTAGTCCAAATGAAAATATTCTTTAACCATTCTAAAAGCTTTGAAAAATCCTAGAGAATTTTTTCTGAATAAAATTCAAATAAATGTGAATATTGTTTTCTTTTCTTATTTTGATAAGTATTAAGTTCTGCACTACTTATGCTGTATATTTTCCAAGATCTTTGTTTTGCAGTGGCAATTAAATTTGGTTTAGTAAATATTTAAAAAACTTAAATGGGGACACTAATAATAGTTCCAATACGACACAGGCGATAGACGCGAAATTAATTTTCAATGTAGCTCCTTGTAAACAATGAACGATTACAATTGGAATTTTAAAAAAATTCTGAAAAATTTGAACAATTCTCTGATATTTTCCTGACACTTCCAGATCAATTAAATTCCCTGATAATTTCAGGTTTTCCAGATTTGCATACGCCCTGAAAATCTAAAAAAATGGTTGTGCTGAATTGTGCTAACTTTGTGCTGCATTGTGACGTAACACTTAAAAAAAATCATTTTAATAGAATAAAGAAAATGTATATTTTGCACGTAACCTCTCACTATCACATTTTTTTTAGTGTGCTAGATTGTGCTAGCTGTTTTCAGTTAAAAAGTTAAAAAAATGGTAGTGCTCGATAGTGCTTTATGCTAGACAGTGTTAGAAAAACTTTTTTTCGTCACGGTTTCTAAGAAATTTGGAAAAAATCGAAGAGTGTATTTTTAATAAAAAGCCTTTGCTCCAAAAGGACCAGTCGAGATGGGGTTGATATAAATTTAGTCTTGCAAATAAACAAATATCTCACGTTGAGGATAAATAGTAATCAGTCACAGAAGATTTAGCTTTTTCTCATTTATTCTGAAAACCTCGATAGATGAGACATTTTTTCAACGCCAAAATGTGACACTAAAATAGCACAGTCCAGTATAACTATAAACTAAAATTTTTCTGCATTTTCTGCAACATATGAATGTTTTTCCAACGGCACGATGTAGCATCAAGTTAGCACTATCGAGCACAATCATTTGCGGATAATGCTATTTTCGTTAGATTAATTTCTTTTTTTTTTCCTGAATATTTTGCCACACACTAATATTTTTCAAATCATCTCAAATGCAAGGCAATGCCAAGTTGACATATTTCGTAACAATTTGTTTATTAATTATTTCGTTTTCTTTTCATGTTCTTGGATGCCCTCCATTAACAGGAATTCTCTTAACATCTAAAAAATGAGATTTTAACAAAGTACAAATTACTCAAAGAATGCGTAGATAACCTTTTTAAAAGCAAATATAATAAACTATGTACAACAATTTGAAGTAAACTGAAAACGAATTTTCATAGACTATAGTCGATTGTATATTGTATTTCCAATAATTGTCGACTTCAGGTAATCATCTTTGTGTTTTTCTCTCTTTCTTTTAACATGTCTCATTTTTTACTGTGATAAAAAATGTGACCATTAAATTAACGAATAGATTTCCCAGGAACAAATATTTTGGAATGAAAACAGTACAGACACTTCCTTTTGTATATTGACTGTGTAATCAGTCATATAAAGTCCTTCAATTTCTCATATAATTGAATAATAATGGAAATATGTATTTAAAAGCAGGAACATAATAAACTGTAATTTCAAACTGCCCATATGGTCAGATAAGAATCAGCGAGTCTAGTTAGTATTTGAATGTTTCTTATTCTTATCAGAAACAGACATCAAATTCGTTATATTCTAACTCTCTTGCAGAAAAAAAATGTCTACCTATTGTTCTAGAAAACAAGCAGACACTAAGCCTTTGATGTCGTCTATAAATTGTAGGTCAAACTGCAGACATTATTCTTCTCCATTTTTTTAAACCGATAGACGATTTATATTCTGGCCCTATCTTTTGCCTGTAAAACAAGCTTCATAACTTCATCAAACGTTCGAGAACTCATGAATAAGTTAATCTGTCTGAATTCCATTAAAAAGCCGTGTTAGGGAATATCAAGAAACCTTTAAAAAAGGTACGTGTATAGATTTCCTCACTAAACCTTCAACAAATAAAAAAATATCATCAGACACCTCACATGTAAAAATTTTACTATCGAACTTCCTGCTTAATTGAGCAGATTTTTTTCAGAAATTTATTACTGGTAGCGTG